TCTCAGACCTCTCAAGCTTACCTGAGAACATTTTATAAATTATAGACATGTTGAGTCTGCTTTGTGAGTCTACCTGCAGATGTTATAACTCTTCTCTACAGGTTAGAATTATTTTCATTCATCAAATACATTTGGGGCTGGGGATGTGGCTCAAGTGATAGCGTGCTGCCTGGCATGCGCAAGGCACTGGGTTCCATCTTCAGCACCACATAAAAATAAATAAAGATATTGTGTCCACCTAAAACAAAAAAAAAAAATAAACTAAAATATATATATATATTGGGGCTGGGGTTGTGGCTCAGCAGTAGAGCACTTGCCTAGCACGTGTGAGGCCCTGGGTTCAACCCTCAGCATCACATAAAAATAAATGAATAAAATAAAGGCATTGTGTCAACTACAACTAAAAAATATTTTAAAAATAAAACACATATGGAAATACAAGGGGAAAAAATACACCCACCAGGCACAGTGGCACACACCTGTAACCCCAGTGGTTTGGGAGGTTGAGGCAGGAGGATCACAAATTTAAAGTCTGCATCAGCAACTTGGTGAGGCCCAACTCAGAGAGATTCGTCTCTTAAAAATATGAAAAAGGGCTGGGGATGTGGCTCAGTAGTTAGGCCCCCAGTACAAAAAAAAAGAAAGAAAGAAAGAAAGAAAAGAAATCACCCATGAAACTAACATGTCACCTCTTTATTCTAAGCTGCGTTACACCAAAGTTCTGAGAAAAAAGGGTGGAACCCACAGACATAAGGGCCAGGTCCTCCTGAAACCCGTGTGTCTTCAGGGACAGAGGCTTCCATCCTCTGGCTCTGCAGAGAGGTCTATGTTCTGAAGCCTCGACACATGTATAAGGATAGAGCCTCAGAGACCACCAGACCAACAGCCTCAATTCACCATTTAGGAGGCAAAGAAGGTCAAGGCCAGGGAACATGGTTTCTCTCTGAATCCATCTGGCCCCCTTACTAGCTGGTCACAAGTAGAATCAGATCCCATGGAAGGGCTGAGAGTCTCTGAGGCTTTTGCCTGTGATAAATGAATCGAAGACTTCAAGAGCTCCTCAGTGACTCAAGGACCAGAACAAACCAGACCTGTGTTAGTGAGATGTACCACAGAGATGCACCTTGACCTTGGCAGGAGTTGACCCTTCTTGCTGAGACAGAGCAGATTTTCTACAGCTGGCTTTTATGAAGTTTTCACATTCCTAGTGTCAAAAAGTCTGTGGAATCAGAACATCCCGCTTCCAGGGGCTCCTGAGGGATTACAGAACTGATTTTCAAAGCAGCCAAAGTTATTACTGTTGGCTTGTGTACTTTTCAAGGCAGTAAGAGCCAGGACTTCTACACTGGGCTCTTACATGTTGGTTTTAGTGGGAACATCTGAAAGAAGAGACTTTAGGGAAGAGGTGGTCACAGCCAAGTTCTTGGTGGGGGTGGGGAACAATGGAGTTGAATCTGGAGAGAGGAACTTTTCTACTTTATCTTATTGGGCTCCTTTGAGCAGGATGTGAAAACTGCGAGATGGGTTATGAGCCGCGGGAAGGGTAGCTGCATTCCAGTGTCCACAGGATTTGGGAGCTAGTCTGGAGAGGGCTGGCTAGACATTCCAGGCAGAGAGCAACTGGCTGCTGGGTATGGAGAGAGGCTGGGGCAAGCCAGGCCAGAAGCTTAGGCGGTGTGTTGTGGCAAGAACAGGGATGAGGGCAGCTTGGGTCATGTGCCCAGGGGGAAACTTCTTCCCCAGTCTTCAGATTGCATCCCCGACCAAGTTGCCTCTTTTGCCTGCTTTCCCCTGTGTGTGACTATCTGAGCATCTTGTTGTTCTCTTTCAGTTCCACCCCCACTGGCTGGAATCCACTGTGCTGTGGCCAAAAGGTCCTAGCCAGGCAGACATCTGGTTTTGTCTCATCCCCACCTCTATGATCCCAGATTGCCTTTCATTGTCCTGAGGGGTCAGAGCTATCCAGGAGCCTAGGAGATCCCTGATGGATGTGCTGGACCCCAGGAATTCCAGTTCCATCTCTGAAGCCAGGACAAGAGACTT